GTATCGAAATGAGGAGTTGCCCATTGTACACAACTAGAAAGATTACTACTATGCTGAAGACTTATTCGAATCCGTGAAAGTCAGTCACAATTGAAACGTCAAATGTACACTGTAAACTGCAAAACTGTTTTGATACTCTAACACAACCTGTTATTAACGTCAGACAATAATCTCTCGAAACCTCAGTGTTTGTACCACTTGCTGCTGAACACCATGATAGGTTTGCCTGCGTTGTAGTCGTGTCTAAATGCATTGGCTACGACATTTAGCCGAGGACAACACACATACAGTTATGTGGAAAGTGGCAACACGCATAGCCAGTCGCTGCAACCACAATATCGGAGCTTGGCTAAATGTCACAGGTTTCCAGTCGATCACTGGTTGAGATATCACAGGATCTTCACTTACAAGTGGAGAATTCTTTTAATTCGTATTAAATGAGTTTACTCTCTTTCCACTACTGTCATTCGAGTTCGTTTTTTAAGAGGCGTTAATGGTGCATGAATTTGAAATTTTTCTGTTTCAAGGATTTTTTTCTGGCTCATCTATATATGAACTTTTTCTTTCATTTATTACCTTGGTTTCAAGAACCCTCTATCTGAAAACCTACCACTCTGTGCTCGTATGTATCAATGATACCATGAAACGGAGGAATTAAATGAGAATACGTAAAAAATCAATCCTGTTTTCACTTCCTTGCAAAATACATCATCCTGGAACGACAAGCTGGTGAATTTCGTCATAGGAAAAGAATCAGAAAAAAATGTACCAAAGAATATGTTTTAGACTCCCTCGCTGGCAACATAATCTTGTAAGTAGGTTTCTGAATTAAAGAACAAGGAATCGCCTGTGTATATCCAGGTATGACGTGTCAACGACGGCCGCAATATAACAGGATTTTAACGGGATCACAGTGGCTCACCGCCCCAGCAAAATGACCCCTTTTAAAGGCTTACTTACTTTGTCGAAAATAGCGAGCGGATAAACAGTCCTTCAATGGGTCCTTGCTTGGTGCAATTCGAGCAAATTAAGCATGAGGTAGCAGTGACACCAGCGGTCACGAGCAAGGCCCTTGAAACAAATCTATTCCAGGCAGAACAGTTAATGTAAGGGATATCTAGCAAAACATCTGGCATGTTTTTATTGCTGTATTTGATACATGATATCCGGTAGACGGTATCTGGGTTCATGCTGCTATGTTCCTTCAGTCTGAGCAGGCTTTGCCATGACTCAGCAGGATGTGTGGGTTTGTTTGTTTGTTTTTGTTTTGCTATTGTTATTTTCAATCCATCTACACGTGTTTGGGTGCAGGTGTACTTCCATCAGGGTTCCCTTCTGTCTCATAACCGGGAATCATACATCACCATCTGTGCTGTGTTCCCTATTATAAGCGGAAGTAAAATCTCACAGGGTCATGCGGGCGGAATTTGTCCCAGCGACCTTTTGATATCACTCAATCAGTGCTTTCTCTGTTATCCTTAAACCTACAAAAGCTAGAATTTCTTTTTCTCAGGCTAGAATTTTTAACTGACCTAAGACAAATGAAATACAACTGACTTTCGAGGACGCGTTACAAAAGGTCATGGTATATAAAAGCAAAATCGTGTGACGGCCTAGCGCTAAAATAGGACCAAAAGAAGGGGTGGGGTCCTCGGTAGTGTAGTAATGAATACACAGTGTATTCACATTTTCAAACACTGTAAGATCACAGAACAGCGAACCCCACGTAGCATACGCTGAAGTTATCAGACCTGTAAATAGTCACAATCACGTTAAAACTGCCAATATGATAAGACGGGAAAAGCACGCTTCATGTGGTCATTGGTGCTCATTGGGTCGATATCATCTCTGAGGGCAAATGACAGATAAATAGTACGGAAACAAGACACAGCGACAGTCTTGTTCAATGATCTGGAATATACTAGCTCTAAAAACTGTTTGAAAACGATTCCTAAAGTTAATCTACTGGAACAAAACGTGACCAGCACCCGTACATCTGCAATCACAGGCGACTAACGGGACGTTAGATGCAAACACAATTCTTTAAATAGTTGTGTTATCAGAAGCACAGTTCCACTTTCTTTGCATTGACTGAAACTGTTTGCTGTGCGTGTCATTTTTCCATGAAAAGTACCGTGGGGAAAAGGGAAACTGTGAGTTGTGGCTACGTTTGTATTAAAAACACGTCTTATCTTCTCTGTCTGCGGCTGCTGTGCCAAGGAGATGAAAGACTTTGGAACATTTAGCGCATGGATAGTTCTCTCAAAAGACGTAGACTTATATGACCCATAATCTCCATCTCTCCGCATGAGACACAAAAGTCTTGTCATGATGACAAGGTACACCAACGCTCTGAAAGTACTTGTCTTGAAGACACGGTCGTCTTTCGTCTTGTAATAATATTTGTTTTCAAGGATGACAAGTGGAATAGTGTGCTTTCGATTTCTTTAAATTGTACAAACTTGTTTATCACAGAGGCTAATCTAAGTATACACCAGGCGAGGTTACAATCTAACAGAATCGGTCTTGCGTAGAAATCTTCTTGATTTTGTTTTATTATGCCCTAATCCATCAAATCGAGGGGTTTTGTTTTGTTTTTGAAGCCGAGCGACACATGAGTCGCTGAACAAAGCTTACCAACATCAAACACAATCATTGCACAACTGCAAATTTATCTACAAAGGTGTGCAATTTGACATAGTCGGAGAGAAATTAATGACAGATTTGAGCATTTTTGTTACAAATAACATACATGAGTTTTGCACATGAAACTTTGTAAACTTCATGAGCCATTGATCATGGTGATAAGCCAGGCTTGGTGGGTCATACGAACACACAGTTGAGTGGCCCGGGTCTGCATTCAAGTCACAGTTTCTCATCACCTAGTCTCGTCTGGAAGCAAAATGAATGACACACTTTCCAAATAATTGTCGTTACTTCGTGGGGCGGCTGGAGTTAACACCACAATGAGATCTTGGCGCGTCTCGGTCGCAGAAGATCGAATTATGATTATCCCATCCGGCCAACGGATGAAGGAATCGCCTAATAGGCGCTGGCGCGCGGCCTTGCTAGCGCCTAACTCGATTAGAGATCTTACCGCTGATTCCAACCACGTTAATTATTACTGTGATGGACAACACCTGAGGAAGGCTTTGCGCAAGGGCGCGTGCTATCTATGGTACTTGTATTTGCATATGTGCAGGTAAGTGACTGAGGACGTGTATAATTGTGATCCAAGTACTTGTTCAGACAAAAACGTCAGCACAACTTTTTGGGCGTCCCAGTAGCTTCTAAGAATGAGAGTTAAGCCGTAAACAAGTTAAAAGATTTTAATGTACTTGAATGGAGTTTTAATTCTACGGATATGAAGTTCTTTGGAATTGACAGTGAAAGAACTCCTGTGGTAAAGTGTGTGATAATTGACCCACAATGCAGTTTCGCACATATTCAGAATGCATACCTGTATTCAACCTCAAAATCCGATTTTAGTTTTTAACACGGCTGCATCTTCCAGTTTGAATCAAACTTCTACCTGATGGGATATTTTGTTGTACCACCACCCCTTGTTAAAAAACGCACTTTAATGGGTTCTTCATTGAGTAATTTACCTCAGTCCGTACTCAAGTTGTACTCAAGCCACACTTTATTGAGTAGTTTTCCTTCATTCACCCGCACATCCGACAATAGTACTCGCGATCCAATCTCTAAGCTTTATTTTTGATACCATTCAGGGGTTACTGGTATTGTGTTTTGTGTAATTTTTTCCGTTATCGCATCATGCAGGCACAATTATTGTACCCACAGCCGTACTTTATCGACATTTGTAAATTCTGTTTCGGTATAATGATCACACTCGTACCCAGGGCCGTGCTTTGTACAGTTCTCACATCAACTCGTAAATAATCTTTCAATAAATATGCACTTTTTGAACGACTAGGTTGTTGACAAGTCGTAGACGTGAAACAGTCCTGTTTGGATAATTTCATTACTGTCATCATTGTGTGGTGTAAAATCTTGACAGCAGGTTAAGGAATAGAACTGTTTCTTTTTTTATCGGGATCTCAAGTGATTGGAAATAGTAAAAGGTCAACTTGCATTTTCATTTTAGAGTGTGTACACGTCCACGTTTCAGTCCTGGGCACGAAACCGACAGTAAATTAATGTCCTCGCTGATTTTCCTTCCACGCGAGTTTTTATTTGCCTAGATGCATCAGTATACACAAAAACCACAAATTGGTTTCAACGCCTCACTCCCATCCCTCAGTTCGTGGAAAGTTAATCTGGCCGTATTCATTCGCAAGGGCTTTGGCTGCGACGCGTAGGCAACTCAATTCTAGATAGATTAAGCGCTGGAAAAGCTGATGATACAATCACTGCGTTTGTTGAGATGAATTCCCAACAATTACACGTGCCATGCAAGATTTTTCGGATAAGGGAATGATTGACGAATACCTATTAATTTGGCGGGGACGGCCCAAACAAAGTGGACCGACTTTGCTGTATTCGAACCCACACGAAGGTTGCCATGAAAAGTGACGTGAGATACCACCTACCTAGTAACCCATAACCGAAAGCCACACACTGCGCTTGTTACCAACGACCAGATACGATGCAATAATGAAAAAACTTCTACGCAAACAGATCTGGGGGAAAACATCAGTCGTCTCAAATTTCTCCAATGTGCTTGAAATGAGACGGCGAGTTTGATCAACATCTTAAAATAATTTGAAAGTTTAAGACACATTTTGATTTAGCATTGGTCACAGGTAACAAGCTATTTAGGCAGCTGTCTGTTACACCCGGTATTAAATTACAAGAAATTAACGGCTTCCAACTCTTGTTAAGAATGATAAAAAATGTAGCTATGTCAATATGACTTGGTTTTAATTTACGGTTAATTGACCAAAATCTTCTAAAATAAAAAAGGTTTTGATTTTTTTTGTTGATCCATACGCAAAATGATAGAAAAAAATAATCTTCTGTTTTTCTTTTAATTGCAGGATGAAATGACCATACCAGAATCGAGACATAGCATCGGAATTTCCTCATATTTCTCTAATCCGGAAAAGTTGTCAATAGGAATAACGCAACTCGGATCGACAGCATTGGGAGCTCCGGCTGAGAAATTTGCATGTTGGCAGGATTGAGTGATCCATCCGGAGAAATTGGAAGGAAAATATTCAAAAGAAGAGTGTCACCGAGGTGTAATTTCAGACTCATCTGAAAACAATACACTCGTTTTTCCCGCCCGGAAAACACGTTCTGTCAGTCGTGCGTGTCATCAAGGCGGTGAGGGTTGAGCAAGGGCGCATGCGCGCGTCTCAGCGGCAATCTGTGTCCGTTCACATTAAGAGCATCTGCGTTGGTGGGACGAAGTCCCTGGTGTCGGTTGATCTAGTTGACAATCTTATAGTCATTGGGTTGGGATCCGCGGGGAATTGCTTGTAGCCTGTCCTAGCTAAACCGACGAGGACTCTTATGTGTATTGCTGAGCTTTTTCGCGCGTCGCCGAAGAGACACAACTCGCCATTTGGCTGGTTGCGGCTGATGCGTTTTCAAGAGGTCCCGTCGTCTCCTTGTGCTTGGGATACATCCCCCGATTTTTCTCGTTTCATCTCCACTCTTCGCCTTTTGACCGTTTTCCATTATTTTTCCGGTTAGCCACGCGGGGCCCGTCAAGCCTAGCGCCGTCGCTCGGACCGTGAAGGAGTTTTTTGTGCTGCCTCTCCGTGCGTCACAAACGCAATTCAGATGGGATCACCAGCAGATTACTACATAATCTAACTGTAGCAAGTCGCTTTGAAGTTGGTGAAATCCTAGCTCGGTCGTGCCGATGGCCCCGTCTCGCCCTACAGGGTGATTTGCTAAGTAGATGGAACCACACCGGACATCAATGTAAAATGAAACCCTCTGGCACAGTCGAGTTGTGCTGAATCCACTCTTCTCCCCTCAGTAAACTCACTTGTAATGAGTGGATCGCACATCCATCCTTGGAACACTTTTTGACAGGGTGAACATTGTAGTCCTTACAGATTACACTTTGACGTTGTGACTTCCTCGGAGGAGCTTTGCTCTGCCCGTCCCGCACTACAATTAGTTTTCTTCCTATTTTCCATTCACGGAATACACAAGATCTTGGGAAAAAATTTCTTAGATGACAACTTTGATATCACTTCTTACATTGGTTTGTAGGCTTCGGCATTAAAGACACCTGTAGCGGCAAACTTTTTTCACTGTCAAGCCCAAGGTCTTTTTAAGATCGTTAGAAACGATAAAAGCGGTATATCTACCTCATACACGGGCACCTGCTGTTTTTCTTTCATTGAAACCCAGAGGAAAACACAGGCTGAGCAAGATGGGTGGAACGGCAAGTGATTTCATGGAGTATGATGACTATTACCCGGTTAACATCACTTTCAGACATAACATGGATCAGCGTGACCGTATCATCTGGAGCGTGGTGGTTTCGGCCGTCATGATCACAGCTGCAGGGGGTAACCTCATCGTGATATGGATCGTAGCCACCAACCCCCGAATGCGAACCGTGACCAATTACTTCCTGTTGAACTTGGCCGTGGCGGATGCCCTCATTGCTACCTTAAGCATGCCCTTCCTCTTCAGCTACATCGTCACTCAGAACTGGGTGATGGGGCCTTTCATGTGCCGCTTAGCACGCTTCGTGGGCACCGTGTCCACAGTGGCATCTGTGCTGTCCTTGGTCGCTGTATCCATTGATCGCTACCGTGCCATCGTCCACCCGTTGTTACCCCGCCTGCCCAAATCCTGCATCATCTGCATGATCTTCTTTATTTGGGGCGGGGCAGCCTCCTTCGCCAGTCCACTCTTCCTTTACTCGCATCTGGTGACTTTTGGGTACTTGAACGGACCCATAACGCAGTGCCTCCTCATCTGGCCGGACGGTGTGATGAAGGAATACGATTTTTGGTAAGAAACGTCCATTTAAAGAAACCTTGCAAGTAGACAAGAAAATATACCAACAAAATAGGTTTATCGTTGGGCGTATTGTTATACATGGCGTATCAAAATAAAGGAAACCCAAAGTCAATCATAATTGATAAGAAATCTACAGATTTCTTAATGCAGCATTATATGTCTCCAGCATGGCCTGAATGTCTTCTTTTTAATGACAACTTGATCATGTACTCAATGCACAGTTTAACGACTAACAATCATTGTTGACCAGCAGGTGAAATTTACACTGTGACAAGTTAGCATACACTTTCTTTGCACAGTACAGGATGGAAATTAATGTGCCTAGACCAACACAAACAAGTGTTTTGGAATGTGTGTGTATGCCACCGTGACATTGATCACATGATCAAGGTGTCATTGAAACGAAGACATTCAGGCTTTTCTGGAGACATATAATGCTTAAATAAGAAATCTGCAGATTTCCTACAAATTATGGTTGAATTTGGGTTTCCTTTATTTTGATACGCCCTGGTTTCCGTAAACTGTATTAATTTATATATGAAAAGTGTTGTGACAACGTGACACACACGTCATCATAATCCACTACTACTACAGACTGGAATCAAATCTCAAAATTTACAATATATATCTGGAGTTGCATGAATGAGTTAAGATCTACAGACTTCTGTAAGCAATGACATAAGCTGGCCAATGACGAATAGGCAAAGAGCTATTTGGCTAGAAATGTTATCCACTGTTTGCATAAATTCGTTATGTTTGAACAAAAGCGAGGTTGCACTTGCATCTCTTCTGCGTTGTTACGTTGCCAAGCCTCTTATTTAACAAACATGCTGCAACCCTGCTCTGTCAGGTCGGGTCTGAGGTCAACAAGCAATACCCTTGTTGTTCCCCGGACCCGGCTGGCCAGTTATGGAGACAGAGTGTTTTCTAGAATTGCACCTCACTTAAGGAACTCGCTTACTGATCATTTAAGACAAGAATATGACATCAAACATTTTCAGCAGCCTTTCAAAACATTCGTTTCCTCACTAGCTTTTTCATCGTGGATACAAAATTAAGTTTTCGTTTTCCAACGTAGACCGGCGCCTTTGAATGTTTTACAGATTACGTGCGCCTTGTAAGTGCTTTGTTATTATTATTATTATTAAGCTATTGAATTTTTTGGTCATTAAGTCCCATTTAATCGGAAAAAGCCACTTAGTTATGTTAATGGCGATGTAACGTGTGTTTGTTTGCTGCAACTTGAAAAACCAAACTCGTTATTTTTCTTCATTTTCACGAGCCCACTGCCATAGTTCAAAGACCTAATTTTATTTCTAACAAAACCAAGAGGAATATTTTTCCCTTCAAATTAAACCAGGTGTCGCACTGTTATTTTCTCTCACGGCTGCCGAGCAGGCACTTGATTTATCAAAGGACAGAACTGCGAAAAACGCGCTGCCGCCTTGCCAAAACATTCAAAAAGGCTGAATGGCAGGCGCTCAAAGACGTGAACAGCTCACTCCGAGGGGCTTTGGTGATCTTTTCATTCGATAATGCTAGGTGTCAAATTAAACCGTCTCCATTTTGCCGACTGCAAAATGGCACTGGACGTGCTTTCCCATTTGCCGAGCAAATACCTAGAAACGAACTCATCGGCTATCCTCTTTTGCGAGCTCTGTTATGATCTATCAAAGGCATATTTATGAAGGCCTGACATTTCCGGATGATCTTTTAAAGAAAAAAATCGCGGCTTAATGTAATCTATGTTCTATGTTGTGGCGTCTCAAAATGGCAACACGTATCCTAAATGAGAACGTCTAATCGTGGAAAAACAAAATAACCTACATTTCTGAAAATCTCAAGACATTAAAGACATTGTAGAGGCTTGGAGATATATAAGCGTATATAAAGACATCTGCAGCAGGTGTGGAAGTTAGTAAAATAATCATCATACTAGTCATGATATATGTAAGCGAAATAATGAGATAGAAATTGATCCATTAAGAAAACGAGGCAAAACATATCAACGTCGATTCAGCATACTCCAGAAAGCCGTAAATGAAGCTTTTAAGGCTAACTATATTGTTGGATATAGCTTGGATTGTGTACACATATAGTCATAATATCGGTTCTCCTCAAGACGATTATCAGAATGTTACAAAGAATTAATAGCTAATAAAACTTTGAAGAAGATGCCATTACGTGGAGTGTACATTTTGCAAAGTGAACAATCTCATACGCCAGAAGTAATACTGTGTGTATGATCCCGTAGCGTGTCGGTGCGGTTTGTTTCACTGTGGTTAATTTTTAAAATGTTGGCAAATTCACTTTCAAAATAATTCTGCAATATGGAAAGCCACCTGAAGTTGTAAATCGAATGAATGGTTAGAATTATTTGGTGTTGCTTTTTCTTTTTGGTTTATCTTGGGCGTTGACAAGGAAGCTCTGAAGTCAATGCTCCCCCAAGCATGAACATGGCTAGTCTGAAGGCTGTTTATTTGTCAAATCCACTGACAGGGGCATAATGTAATAACACTATCATACCGTCTAGACATGACAATACCTCATGTGCTGGTCCATGTATACGTCAGTTCAAATTAACGTCCTATAGATGTATGCACAGCGTACGCCTGTCAACAGAGTCATACAGCATAATAAATGACACGATATACCTGTAGTCCCTGTGCTGGACGTGAAAATATACACCGTCCCATGGCGAGTCTATCGAGTCGTGTTTTAATTAAATTTGCACATGTCTCACGAACGGTCCAACTCAGACTATTTTCCACTTGAGATTGTTCATTTGGTCTGACGATAATAATCTCTGTTATTTGTTGTTATTTGAATAGGTACAATGTAGCAACTTTCACCGTGGTATACTGCGTTCCCTTGTCCATACTAGCCATGTGCTATACGGTGATTGGTGTGAAGCTTTGGCGAAGCGGCGTTTTGGGTGAATACATTCCTAGCCGCGCCAGGCACATCAAAGCCAAAAGAAAGGTTGGTGATTTATAAAAGCATTAGGCCTCGTATCGATATTGCGACTTCGAGCTCACGACAAACTTCATGGATAGTGGACTAGGGCAAGAAACAAGACCAACATGAAGTAATACTCAAAAGACAACATAACGTGACGTCATGCACGGGACACAATTGAACAAACTGCACGCTACACAAAACCATGCTTAAGCATATCGACTACTTGCTGGCGTGGTTGCACATGTATTTTGCGAAATCGGAATACCAACCACACAACCTCGACCCTTATTGGATTATCCCGCGCACGTGGTGTGGTCCTGTGTTTGCGCATGACCGTCGCCCACGCTCTTGAGAGATGGTTGACCACAATTAAAAAGCTTTGCCCCTTCGTTACGTCTGTGGTCAAAACAGCCGCTGACACCTCTTTCTGTCCTTTTCCAGACGGCAAAGGATGGCTAGGCTTGGATTGTCCAAACAAGAACCACAGTGACGTGACTGCAACACTCAGTTTAAATAAAAAATATCGTTTACACAGACGGAATCGACAGTATCACACACATATTGTTATCTCAAAACTTCCCATGATTCCCCATCAGAGGGTGTGGAGAGTAGAGCATACAGAGTCAAAAGACTGCATGAAGTGCGCAAAACGCAAATTTTCAAGCCGTACAAATCTGAGCGAGCTCGTACGATAACCTATGGGGGACCCGACAGGACGTAACCATTTGTGATTATACCGTCGTTACGACTTGGTGAATTTATTCTTGAATATGTTGCCACGCCTTTAATTTTTACACGACCAATAGTGATAATTAACTACTAGTCGCAAATACTTTTTGACGCGAATAATTTTAGTAGCTTGGAGGTTAATTTATGAAACGGAAGATAGAGTTCGTATAACATGCTCTATCCTATTATCTGCTATCCTCTGATGCATACTCTTGAACCCTCCATGTTGCCTGAAAAATGTTCAAACACTTCACTATGCAACACTCCACCCTGTATGAGTGCCTATTAAACAAGTTAAGCATGAAGTTGTGAGAGTGGCGATGATAACAGTGCCTTAACAGCCTTCATTTCTGTTGACTCCCTCAGGTAGTTAAGATGATTATTGTTGTAATCGCTGTGTTTGCAACGTGTTGGTTGCCTCTTCACGTCTACCAGCTTTTACCCTACATGAATGATGCTGCCTACCAAAGGTCCTATTCGCTACACGTCTACTTGGCTATCTGGACGCTGGCTATGAGCAGCTCAATGTACAACCCGTTTATCTATTGCTGGCTGAACGAGAGGTGAGAGTTTGGTCTTGTAGACTGGCGCCTGAAATATGTGAAGACAGGCAACGACTTCGAGGTCTGAAATTTCATTGGTTGATTGCTTGGGGCATTTTCCTGTCCTTGTAGTCTGATTGGTCAAATTTTCAAGATGACGTTGCCGCAAAATGTGGCCTCCTTTGTCAGGAATATTTAAATTTAGATGACCAAGCTAATAAAAGAGATACTGTGTCGTCCTACTTCCCGATTTCTGATGTCGTGTTCCAGCAGTTGAGATACTTTCCGGATTTTGGTCCATATGAGAACGGAAATCAAAGCATCTATATATCGACTATATTTCCGTGAGAATGAATCTGCGCCCGTCGAACAATAGGGGGTACTGTATCAAATTTCCGTTCACTGAATGCTCAGCAATTGCCGTACGCCGCTGGCAAGTTTCTTAACTCGGAGGCTCAACCTATCACTGTCTAAAACGTATTTTCTAAGGTTCTGCTGATCACTTTCGATGGAGAAATTCAATCCGGAGCAATTCTAAATTGAAAACCCACATGAAGCACAAACCACATATTTTGAGATTTAAAGAAAAACCACCACGATGCGTTGTTGATAAAAAAGAAGACTTTTCCGGACATCTTTCTTCTTTGGGAGATTTAATAGTAGGCACACACGGAGACATTTTTGCCATGCAGACACGAAAGGCCAATTTACTAGACTACTACGCTAACTACGTTCATGTCTACGGTGACAAATGATAGTACGCATTCCGCATTAGCTCTTATGATGTAGGCAAAACTAAGAGTGCGCTCCTACGCAAACAAGCTAGTGCTGTACACTTGTCAATGCCATCTGGGATTGTTACCCCCTCAGGGGCCAATTGTCCGGGCAATCGTCATCTTGATATGTCGCTGATCATTCTGCTGTTTTACCTTTGGAACAGGGAAGTCACTTTAGAAAACCAATGATGGCAATGCTCAGCGATACTAAATGTTTCTCGTCAGTAGCGTCCAACTTTACATGGTGAGGGCCATTACAAATAATCGTCAGTCTCTAAGGATTTGCCCACAAAATCAATTCAGAAGCACAAACCGTTGGAGGGGAAAAGTAAACGAATGAGAACAAAATCAGAAAGTTAAAGGTTAGAAAACCGCTTAGCAGCACTCTAAAATTGCAATTAAGCTATAGTTGTAGGCTACCTGAAGATTCACAAAGTGCCTCATGCGTCCTCTTGACCAAATGGGACACGTGGAGAGAGAAGTTATCAAAGTTGTGAGGATCTGTCATAATTAATGGAAGCCATTTTGGAATAATGCGCATTCAGCGTAGGAATATGTATGATATATGTAATGCTATAACGTACGTTACCATAACAATTCAATCCCACATGAAGTAATTTGTAGGATTGTAATGTGAAAGCTGAAGTGAGATGGTGTAGAAAGGGGACCATTTAATTAAAGTATAGCCAATAATTTAACTTTTCTCCAGGAGCAAGTTTTTTAATGTTGCTTAAAATTCACAGGTTTCGTGCAGGGTTTAAGCGTGTTTTTCGTTGCGGTGTAACGAGTCTGGACGACAACAACGGCCAACAACCGAGCGCCACTCCGATGTCTCCCACAAGCCAACATTTGATGTCGTCAACCAGTAGTTATCAGCGCGCCGCCAACGGTAAGCAGATGTTAGCTGCCAAGAATAGTCTGGTGACTGCAAGTGTGGTCGATTCAATGGAAGACACGTGCTGAGCGCGAACCACGTGGAGTTTTTTTACTTCAAACTTGACTGTGATAGGCTGGAATTTTCTCAAAATTGACTGTGAAAAACGATCGATCAGGAAAATCTGGATGCCGTCTTGATATTTCTTGTTTTTTGTGATCGTGTGGTAAAGCACTTTTTTTGTGAATAAAACCATATCTGGGTACAATTTAAATCTTAGTATACAGCAGACTTGTTTAATGAAAGATTGTAAATCTGAACTTCCCTGAGGAAGTGCAGTGTTGTGATGACCTTTTGGAGAGAGGTTTTAGGCCTCTTGATTGAAATAGATCCGTTCACATTACAGTGTGCTACAAAATGTTTTCCTCGAACTGGCTATTTTCTTCCAACCTAGCAGTCGACATCTTGTAAACTTTATAATGCAATTGGAGATCCAGCCTTTAATGTTACTCGAAGTAAAATTTTCATATTGTTCTCTGTTGAATTTGCCCAAATCCAAAATATCATTACTCGTGTAATTCTCCCGCAATGAACTGTAAAAAGGGCCTGTATACGGTAAGCTGGTTGCGCACTTCTGGTTGCTTTGCTTTTCTTAGACTGCTCCTGACTGTGCAGGTAAAAGATTTTAGATAAAAGTATACTGTAATGAAACTTTGTTTGAGAAAAGATACTAAGTTTTGTCAATTACGTCTGTCTTTAATGCGCCGTTAGTGTAAATAAGAAGATTGGCACAAACGTAAACCTAAGACGCCATTCTTTATTCCATGTGCCACCTCGCAATGTAAAAGGTATGAGTGCAGAATCACACTGAAAGTTCTGAAAAGCATGACAAAAGATAGCGTGAGGGGTCGTGAGTGGACGTAGACGTAACGGATTGAGTGCAGGAAACTGTATGAGGGCGCTGTTTGCATTGTGAGGAAAACCAGGCTGCAGGGAAAACACACTGATCACGTACATGTCTTGTGTGTGCGCAATCAGACCAAACCGTTTTTACGTTAATAAAGCACCCGAGAGTACGTGCAGCTGAAATAATGGTATATTTTGTCTTTATTGTATATAATCAAATTGAGCAAAAAAATCCACACTATGTGAATCAGGAAACTATATGTGCAGAGGATGAAAATTCACTTGGCCCCAAGCGTATCACGCGAACCATATGCCGCTTCTCCTGGAATTCACCAAGATGTGGCAGACTTTCGGAATTATAAGCTATAAATGTTTAAAGCTATGCCACCATACCACTCAGACTCTCTGCACATTGGCAAATGATACTGGCGTCAAGTGACACAGTACAAATGACTGTCCATACTTGTATTAAAACCTGCGTATAACCAGAAGAGCGTCTGCTCTTAAATTGGCCTCAGGATTGCTGATATTCCAGTAATGAACATTCCACTGGCAGGAAGAGACCCCTACATAAGTTCAAACGGCAGTAATCACCATTCAATGCACGTAAAGGAATGTTGATGAGCAGTGCGACTGTTTTTAAATCCCAAGCCAATGCTTGTAAAACCAATAATGTTAGTGAAATAGCATCACGTGAAATACGCCTGTTTCATTCAACGAGATAATATGAAACGCTGCGTTCATACAGCTTAAGAGATGAGCACGTGAGGTCAGGAGGGCAAACGCAGATTTTGGGAAAAAACGGTGAGAACTTTAGCAGCATGGGTTTACTAAACTTTTGATAGAGAAACAGCTGGTGGACGAATGGCGTTATTAGTGAGTATACATGTTCTTAACTTGATGAACATTGGGTTTTAAAATGGAGCACTGGGGTTTACTTGGGGTGTGGCGAGGTTGACTCGCGGTTTGAGGCAGAGTGTGTCTTGCCGTTCTTGGGTTGATAAGTTGTACTTGACGAGGTGTAGGGTGTGTGGTTCAGTAGAGGCTCCTTAAAGTTGACTTCACTGGACAGGTCAACTTCAGACGAGTCGAGTAGGTGAGTTGCGGTTAGTTGAGAAGTTTAAAACTAGAAGGTGCATTCGCGAGAAAGTTTAAGTAATAGATAGCCGTGAAGTGATCTGATGTGTAAAGTGTTTGAAACAAGTTAACGCGAGAGGTTCAGTGATGTGTGGGTCTAGTAAACAAGCAATGTGGCTTACCTTATGGAATGGGTGCTATAATTTTTTCTCTATCTTACTGAAACACGTCCATGGTTGTTTCAAATTTTTCAATTCACCTTCTTTAACTGTTCTGCCTTTTCAGTTGCAATGACATAGTTCCCTACTTATTGCAGAGTTTGCCAATTATGGAGCAAAACTTTACGTTTTGGGGGGATGGCAGGCTGAAACCTTAGAACTGTGACATAATAGTGGTGAGCATTTCACACGATTATTACTGTGGAGCTCATGTGACATCATTCTATGCGTTCTGGAGCCTTTCGGTCAAGTAATCAGCGCAGGTCTGGTAAAACCCAGGATATGGGTCTCAACATTTCGTTTATATGTAATCACTTCTGCGTCAAGATGTCACGCAAAGCTGACTGTTTCAGGATTACCACTGGAGGTAATAGTTTAACCATACACCAATAACCGACACACTATGAAAGGAATTAAAAGCCAAGAGATTACTTTCACATATGTGTATGTCTTTCCCACTGATTATTAGAATTCTTCCGAGTAGAAACAGATGTTCCTCTTGTTCAAAGTAAGGCTTAAGAATAGAATTTAAGTATAATGCATTTACCCCGTTTTCCAACCTGGTGTGTACAGTACTATTTTAATGTCACTATATTAAGTGCAGTAAACTTTTTAGGTGTATTTTACATATTGGTAGTCCGTGGACTCCAGTTTGGCCATCTGTTGGTGGCAGTGGGCTTTTATCTATTTGTCTTTTTTTGAATAATTGTGTTTTCTGATGATGTTTGTGTGCTTACAGTGGTAATCAATCATGTATAATCCATCCCTTTTATTTGCTCTCCACTTTTTCAATCAATGCACATTTCGAGAACATTTAACAAAAATGACGTTCCGGTAATTTGACATAAAATTCAAATTTACGAATCTATCAGAATGTGACTGAAAATGTACTGTAAAAGATCTCCAAAAATTGTGTCAAAGTTACTCATGTTAGTTTACCGCTTAACGGTAATGCCAATTATGTTTGAAGGGGTAATTCAAGCAATGTAAATTAAATCTCACTCAAAGTGTTGAAATGGATGTTAATGCTACGTCAGATTCATATTGATATCTGTTCCACCATCCCTCCAAAACCTACTTCTATGACAACAAGAATTCTTGCTGCCCGGCTTATACTTTGAGAAACACTACCTTATCCAAATTAATAGGCCTACGGCCTTTTGAAAATTTGAAATACGCGTTTTGAGAATGTGACCAGCTGGTCCGGAGAGTGCAGTCCTTACTTTTTAAACAGAGGCTTTACGGGAGATTTCCTGTTCACTGTCTCCGTGTCTAAAAGACGCCATATTTCAAATGATGCGACTTCGACCTTTGTCTCTCATTCAAATGTACTGTATCATTTGTTTTGAGTTTGGAGGTGGACAGGAACTCTCACAATTTATACTAGAGTCAAAGTCATTTAACATAAATTACACCGACAGAGGATCAAGCAGAAATATTGTGCATGTATGAATTTCCATTAATTTGACTGATGTTTCTATTCTGCTGCTCAGCTTTGGATGTACAGGAACTGGGACGAAAAAAAAGAAAAACAAACAATACAGCCTTGCCTTTGAAGACGTCCTGGAGTGCGCTTTTTCAATTAAATGAGCTTTGCAATTGTTTTAGCAGATCGCGTTGTCAGGAAGTAATTTAGCAACATAAATAGAAACACAGAAATACGCAGAATTCTGGCGTCAATCTGGGATACATCCACTGGAAGCAAAATGAGCTAAATGACAATAACAAATAGATCGTAATGTGCCTTATTTGTGACTGATTCTTACCTGTTTTTTCTTCCTTATCAGTTTTTTTCACTAGCCATTTCACTCGGGTGGAAAATGTGCCACATTGGATGCGTTTAGATAATCGTAATGCCGTCAGTCAATCAACTGTCAGAACACGTCAGATCGAGCAAGGATAAGCGGACGAATAAGCGTGGTTCTAGGCCAACTCCGTTTTGTAGTACAATCCACAACCCTGGAATTCAATTAACAGTGCAGCCCCTACTTCAGTAACTGCGCATAAGGCATGTTGGAGTAATTCCAACTACGCGGAGCGAATAACCGAACATTAGCTCACAATTAAGTGTTACGTAACAATTTTCTAGCTTTGTTTGAAAAGTGGACCATTCAACCAACAAAACACAATTCTCGCATCAGGTAAAACGCGAAGTCTGTATACCAAATGGAAGACCAGATTGCCGAACTACTCGCACAAATTATACGCGGGAAGAACAGACACTCTCAGTGCTCTCGTTCAACATGTAAAACTCAAGCTCATAAAAAGGGCAATAACTGAGAGAAAAATCAGCCTCAGCCACATATGCATTTTGCTTGCTGATTCGCTCGAGGTAATCGCAGGAGGTAATCCTGCTTCCTGTACAGTTTGCACACACAATTATACAGTGGATTCTTAATACATTATGTCTTCCCACTAGTCCATGGAACTTACCTTACAAACAACTTCTCCAAGCCCTGGTATAAACTTTACAACTGTAATGCCGATCGTGCGGAGGGGTCGCTCATCTCTCTTGCAAACATTTTTGAGAAATCCAGGCGAATATTGACGTTCATTATGCACTGGCCCTTTCCATGATGAAGATACAGTAAAACCTCCTCTTAAACCACAGATTTCAGGAAGTTTGTCCTCTAGTGTGTTAATTTGTAAAAGCCATATAGACACATTGATTAGCCTAAGGCAAACTGAATTCCTCTCTGGATTAAGTTAACCCAGGTCAGCAAACTCACATCGACTTCATTGCATTGTAATTACCTTTGAGAATACTGCTAAGACCAAAAGGTCAAAGTGACAGCGCCCTCCAGTGTGATATGCTATGTTGCATCACATTTTATTTCCCAAATTTACATTGGGTACTCTTTAAGTAAGCTGTGGAGATGTTTGTCTTAAGAATATAGGTATTCTGCATAGTATGTATGGTAAGGGCAAGTAAGTAGGTTACTACAAAGGGGTGCATTTACATGGGTTATCAGTGATGCGTGCGCGTCAATGGTGATAAAAAAAACCGAGGCACACATGTCTGACGCATGTGCAGTACAAGCGCGCTCATTCAGCATTATGACGTTTTGTTTGGAAACGAGAGTAACACAGTGAAGTATTATAGGTAGGATGCACAAGGCGAATAAACACATGCTTAATGAAGGCGGAGAAAGCAAACTGTCATAGATGGCATTTAAAACTAAATATAAAGAGAAACGGCGGATGATATCAGGTAAGCCTTTTATGCGTATAGGCCTAATCCGTAGAACTAATTTGCTTATTTCCTATACCATCAGAGAAATATTCTTTCAAGGTGATTGAGTGACACTGAGGTTGGCACGGTAGCCCAAGTGAGAGCGTAAAAGTGTTCTGCGTAACAGTTTTCCTCGAATGGTCTTCCGCGGAACATTAAAAATCGAATTGGATGTCAAGGGCTAGCCTACGTTTTTGACACGGAACCGCTTACAGAAAAAAATGTTTTGGACGCTAAGTTAGCTACATAATCTATGACGGAAGTAATGAAACTGCAGTGGTGTTTTTCCTCAACACGTTTTCGAACGCCCACTTCAGGCACGATGCTACACTATAGAAAGAGCAGTGACCAGGACGTCACAGAGTCCGCCATCTCGGATCGAAATCCCGCCCTTTTCCCGCGAGATTACTTGAAGCCTCTGCTGCCGCAGGATTTCCCCCTGGCCGTGCGTCGATCCCAGGTCCTGTGGGACGCGCAGAACGAGCTGCTCCAGCGCGCCACGGAGGCTACAAGGCGGATGGAGGTGGCCAAAGCGAAGTTCTACGCATGGCCCGATACAGACGGTGACCGTAAACGGACGGCTGGACCTTGCCAACTGCTCAGGAACTACCGTAACTGGGAGAAGGTGACTGATGAGGGCGCGCTTTTCTCTCAAAGGGAAACAACCCACTACAGGACTCGCAGAGTTCATTTCAATAAAGAAATCAAAATTATCAGAATTTAGGTTTGAGAATATGGACATCGCACTCCTTACTCGAATTCAATTGCACGACTTCATTCTTACAGTACAGCTAAAGCAATCAAGGTATTATATTTTTCCACAGGTATGTTGTGCGTTAACCATTGGGGGATACTTGCAGAAATTTGAGAGCTAGAGTGGGCTAAAAGGCATTACTTATGGATACTGGTAACATATCCTGGCTAAGTGCAACTTTGACTTTTAACAGGACTCCGTCTAAAGTTACGCCTAGATTAACTTGTCATGTAACTTGTCACTGCCCTTTCTTAAAAGCGTTGAAAAAACCCACTTCCTCACAAGAACAAAAGAGACAAAACTCAGTTTTGTTTAACAGCTCATTTCATTAATTTAATTAACTACACAGGTTGATATAAATATTTTGTGTATTTTGTATTTATACAGCGAAGTTACACTATATACATAACCACGGTTATTTGGTCAATCAGAAGTTAGCTGGAGAGCGAGGCGGTGAAGTTACATTCATCATAAAAAGATTTTTACACTTAAATGGAAAAAATGCAAACAGCATTTAAAAATCTTTGAGAATTAAAGACAGGGTATACAATCGATTTTTTAACTTTCAATCAGTATCTGTGAATGAGTTACTGGGAGCCTGAATACCAAAAATGGGTTGTTACTGAAATTTTAAATAAGAGACCACACGCATTGAAGATAGCTTTTTGTAAATCCTGATATTATATCAAAATATTGACAATATATACCGGTGAAGGCACTGAACAGAAAAAAAGAAATCTGAATGTAGTTGTTATCTGGAGAACAACCTCGAAACAAACCAACTTAGGTACTCATACTCCATAGACATTCAAAGCATTGTCAGAATTCAAGGTACACTAAAGGTTCCGATAAATGTTTCTGTACGTGGGCGTGATTTGTCAAACAATTTTGCCCATGTGAAAAGCAACACCAAGTGCGCGCGGTCTAAGTAATGGAAGGCATGCTTTGAAAGGATCGCTGGACCTAACGTTGCTTGTTTCCAGTCTCAAGTTATTTCATACATAAATAATCTGAAGTCTTTGGCCTTTAAATAGCAGTCTGCCGTTCTGCCTCCTTCCTAACATTGCCATCTCTTTGGTTACTCTGTAAAAGTTTTTCTGGCAGTTATGCTATCTTGTTTCAGGGATATTTCACTGTGGATTCCGTTAATTAAATTCAATTCAGTAGACATGACATTTACAACGTCCCCGCTGAAGTGCCAAGGCTGAGGCAGTAAATGTAAAAGGTAAGATAGTCAGGTTGTGCATAAATGGCCAACTTACAAAGCTCCACGAAAAGTGAAGCTGTGTAATTTTATTTGGTGCAACAGCAAAAACATGAGAGCAAGAAATTAGCATATTAAGAATGTTAACAACTTTGACCCAATGAGCTAGTCTTATTTTTGAAGTTGCACCTGACACTCATTGCACTACATGATTCAGGAAAGGTTTGGTGTGGCAATTCAAAGTCATCACCTAAAGTGAGTATGTGAAGCCGGCTGTAACTAATTTTGCCATTCGCCTGAAATTTGTACCTTCCAAAATACCCTAACCCTTCAATTCGCATCAAACTGTTGGTATTAAGTAGCACCATGCACTGGAAATAGCGTGCAGATTCGTTGCGTGATGGGTCACAGCGTGTAGTCGTAGAAAATGTACACTCATGGCCACGTCAACATTTCTTGGCTACGGCTAGAAATACTACGCACCCCCACCGGAAGCCGTAAACTCCCGGCTACATCAAGTCCCCATATTATGCACGGTTTTGCCGGCCGTTAAATTTGCAATAAAAGTACATTTTACGCAGTCGAAAGGTTTGTCACAAATCACAGTATAACTAACTTGATCCAGGAACGCTGAGGACTCCCACACTCCTCGTGAATCCAACCTGTGCACACAAAGAGAAGCCATTTTCAAGGAACTTGTGTCCAAAAGTGCTTGTGTAGATTGGGTTTGAAAATGGTAAGAACAGTCAAAGCTACAGTCTAGAAAATATCATCTGTTGAGTCTACTACGCTGATCCCCATTATACTTGTTCGGCACAAGAGGGCGGGCTTGCCATTCGCGATATTGCGATTGACGCCTGTGGTCGAGGTTGCCGCGGCGCTGGAAGCAGTGGGTGTTAGTGGGATTCTTCTCCCCAGGCCCTTGCCGTCGCTTGAGCTCTTACTCTTGGGAACGAGGCAACGAAACACACGCTTGAAACCAGCTCGGAATCTGGAATCGAGACAAACGAAGGAAATAAGTATGCATTTTCCCTGAAAATGATAATAGAAACATGTTCAAGTCAGGGGCTACAGCTTTAGAGACAACTGATGACTATCTTATCAGGGCCGTTTTCCAATGCTCAACTTTGGCTACGTCTGCTGCTTCATCTGTTTTTTTACTTGCTGACTTTGAACCTGTAAGCGCAGTAATCAGTCTAATAGTGCCACGAAACATCAAATAAGATGCAGGAAAGCCAAAAAGTACAGCAATCCAATGTAATTTAAACCTTTCAGGCCCACAATTGGGGATTGGTTTTGAGAACGAAGCCTGAGACGGAGACGAAGTTGAGTATTGGAAAACGGCCCAGTGTTCCTGGAAATAAAACTGATTATGCTGCCGTAAACCCCCTTTGTCGCAATCCTGCATTTGTGATTAGATCGGACAATTAGGCGACTATGGAAGGGCTCCTTTGATGCCCCTGTATAACTATCACCTGCATCAATTACGTGGAAATGTTTTTGTACACAACAAACCTATCATTAAGCCAGCAGTAGATGAATGGATTGTACATGGAACAGCTCATGGCGATCGTCCAAATGGAGAGGTAAATGTGAACAGCGTAAGGCTTCATGTAGATGTCATCGTGGAGAAAGGCAAGGAACTGGTAGACGTGAAGCGGGAACCAGCACACGGCAAATACAGCTATAACAAGCACAATCATCTTCACAACCTGAATAACACACCATAAAATATCACAAATAACAGGTGTAATATCTTTGAGATAACGACGCTGCAATATCTGGAAAATCGTTGTTCCGTTGAAATGCTCAAACGTATACAATAAATCATGACATACAGCTTTAAGAAATTTCGAAAACGTCTACAGTCATAAAATGCCTCCAATTTATTGACAATTGAAATTTTAAGTCCTCAGTTCGTTTATATCGTGTCCATTTTCTCAAAGAAAAAGTAGAGTAAACTCAACAGGGTTTGGTGAATTGACGCGGAAAAGCATTGTCAACTCGTCCGCGTATTGATGCACTTCCCTCCATTTATGGCAAATCATTCATGTACTTTACGAGGCAAAAGGGAATGTCGGCGCGCATTTTATGCTCTTATGAGCTCGATATTGCCCTCGATATTACCTCCGATATTGCAGGGCATATTTCCGATTGGAAGCCTCTTCGGCAACTATTTGTCACAGCGCATCCACATCAAATGCAATTCCAAATGGAAGACCTTCTTGCGATTGTACCGCCCAGAATAAAAAGGGCAAGCAAAGTAGAAATCTCTGTCATCGTGGTTTTATCTCGACACACTGCCGCCAAGCACAGCAGATACACAAACCATGTGGATCGCTTGATTGAATATGCCTGTTTTGACAGACAAATTTGAAATGCTTATAAACAAAGTATGCAGGTGCCATGGTTACCAACATTACCGTCTCCAACAACACTGGCTAGTTTGATTTCCCTTCTTGGTATTGTTTTAGACTTCAGTGTACATTTGTCAGACGGGCTTGCAAAAATGAGGAATGTGTTTTTTGCAAGACGGATGTTTTCTTTGGCTTCCATTACGCCCCTGGTCAATCATTGTGTACCATAGAGCCGAGTGCACTTAGTCAGCAGGCGTTGGTTGGGCGTCCTGTTTAAACTGTGCCAAAGGGGTGATGCAAAAGCCTTGTCTAAATTCTTCCTAACCACAAAATACGAATTTTACCCGCAAGATTTCCCAAAACTTCCAAACCAACTATTAATCGTATAAAGATTGAGCTAGGTACACTGTAGAATATCGTCAATACATTCAACATTGTCGGCCTATAAATGTTATTCCAGTACTTCTCCTTTTTTTCCTAATAAAAATGCAAACGTCTCTCATTTTATTCACTCTTTCAAGCCTCGTTAGTAGATAAAGGGGAAAACACTTGACACGAGACTAGAATCACTAGAGACGTAACGTGAGCAGCCTCTTCTGATACGCTGCAGGCCGTTTTCAACATTCTTTCAAGGGAATGCCTGACTGGTAGTCACTTTGGGTCAGGATCGGGGATAGACCACTTCCGATGAACTACTGAAAATTTATTCGATTTACAAACGAGCTTTGGGAAAATCAGTAGAGAGCTTTTCACAAGAATTACACGTAACCGTAAGACATGACATGTCCGCTGGTAACCCTGTGTTATTAGGAAACAATGAGCAACAAAGCATCGGACATGGCACGTTCACCGATAACTTTTTTGGCCGATAATTGAACTCAGCAAAATTTAGTGAGCTTCGCAACGCAGTCACATCATCGGTCCCGGATGGTACCTTTAAAGGCCAATGTTGAATAAGGTCAGGTCAAGGAAACATGTCACCCAACTCGATCCTACCCCCTTCCTTGGCAATCCCTCCTTTCTCTCACTCTGCATCTTATCTCCACGGTCAACAAGTCCTCCCTCCCATCCTTTACCTTCCGCTTTGCCTTGAGCTGTCTGGCGCGGTTGGGTATATACTCGCCCAGTACATCACCATGCCACAGCTTGACGCCGATGACCGTGTAACAAGCAGCCAACGTAGCTAATGGCAGACAATACAGCAGCACGAATGTGATGACGTTGTACCTGTAAAACATAAATGATTATCGATCACGCCACTGTTATTTGAAAAAAATAGGCTGCACAACATGTTATAGCACAACAACACCAACGCACATGTAGACATGTTGCCAACGAGGATGAACGCTTGTAATAAGTGGTAGGCAGTTCGTTTTGGCGAGCAGAATTGCAACTAGCCCTTACCGCGGTAGCACAACGCTCGTGGTCAAGTGGAACGCGCCCGTTAAAGGTCTCCTCAACCACTAGATGGCAAAGACTTGTCAAATGCAGGCGCTCGTCAAACTTCAGAACGAGACTACGGCGTCTTCTCTGATTAGTGTTTATCAAAGACAGTGGCGTAACTACTCTAAATTTCCGGGGGGCACCCGGCAATGCACACATTCTTACCACTGACCATAAATGTATATTAAATTATGAGCGATTCACAATACAGTTTACCATCAAAAGCACATACTGAGGTAAAAACTGTTTTTTTCCAAGCACATTCTAAAAAGGTCGACATCTGCGCACAAACCATTTTCAATTTGAAGAACTCAACCATTATTTTACATGTGCAGTATGTATTGCAGTATGATTAGTCTTGGTTCCAAGACTTTCCAGTAGTTCATTCCGCGACATGAAGCATCACCAGACGAATTGCTCAAAGTAAAAAAAGAGCTTAAATAATATAATGCTCTCTGTATCCGCCCTGAGTTGAAGTGCACACTCAACGGCGAAAGAAAGACAGGCTGGTACGAAGTTTTCCAACTGGTTTCTGCACGCGTTCGGCGCACACGCAAAGACAGTTTAAATTCAATGCCCGTACTCAGCGTTCCCAGCGTTGGTACCATTTATCGCCATCCGGTTGGTAAGTGACTTCGTCACAAAGGCGGACGCGCCACGATTTGCGGGCTCCCATTGGACGATCGCTGAAGTTGCGCGTTAACGTCCGGTTCCATGGTTCCATGTAAGCGGCGATCGGTGCATGTAACTCTGTGCAGTGCATGTGCAGTGGGCGTGGTTTAAACTGAAGTGACGTCGCGCTTACGAACCGGATAGGTTCATCACTGAAGCAGTGACGATCTAATTTCACAAGGAATGACGTACTAAAAATCCAGTTGGCCCGTCCTCCACAGTACAGAGGCGCTATCATTAGTTAACATCACTACTTAAGCCATGCCCACCTTTGTTTCGACACCCTAGCGGTAGCCTGGGCGTTACCTTTAAGTAAGACTGATGCAATACAACTTAGTGCAACCGCCATAGTGTACATGTAATTATAATACTGATATTAAGCCGTGTCCGAATTACCCATGCAATGACTGGGAAGAACACGCTAGTCCACGTAGAACGGATATACCGGCTAACTGACGGCTTCCATAGGCGCATGTGCAGTTTCAGCCACAGCCAGATAAAATTCAGGTATCTTGATACCTGTTGTATCAAGATCAAGCAAGGATCTTGTTTATGGGGCCTGTTCTACACGGATCCGCATCGCGATCCTCAATTCATCGTTGGTTCACTGACACCAGAGCCTGGATTGAGAGGACCGGCGATGGGTTTAAGATCAAGTTCTGCGTGAAACAAACAGGCCCCATAAGCTATACAATGTGCCACATCGGCATTTTCAACAGAGCATGCCAAAATGCATGAAGCGCGTCGGGGGTCACTCGGGAATAGCAATATGCGCGCGTGGGAGGTCGGCTTAATCAGATCTGTGACAGCCCTGTTTGTTTCCCATGGATCTGGATCTCGATCGCGTAGTCCAAACGCTGGTTCATGCCATCCATTAGGCCGGTGTCTAATGCCAGCTAAGGCGCTCGCGTGGTTTGTTCTCGAATGACCTTGCCGTTTGAAATATCGAACTGGTTTGCAAGCACAGCCGTCCAACAAAACAAACGCGACGAATCACAGAAACGTTACGTACTCTGTGACTGATGTGTTGTGTTTCCTTCATTTAAGTGTAAGCCATGGACTGGTTGTTGGCTCAAAATTGGAGAATGATGAAAAGATTAAAGAAACAATACAAACTTACGTAAAGTCGATATGGTTGAGTATTCCATCCGGCCAGATTACCAAGCACTGTCGCTTAGTCACATCACCGAGGTATGTGAAAGAAATGATCCTTGAATAGAACAAGAACGGGCTGGCGAAAACGGCCGAGCCTCCCCAGATGACCACAATCATGCAGACGATGTAGGACTTGGACAGTCGAGGTAAGAGCGGGTGGACGATGGCTCGATAGCGATCCACGGAGACAGCCACGAGAGACAACACACTGGCCGCCACAGATACGGTACCGAAGAAGCGGGCCACTTTGCACATGGCCGAGCCCAGGGCCCAGTCCTGGGTGACGATGTAGCTGGCCTGAAAGGGCATGCTTAAGGTAGCAATTAAGGCATCCGCCACGGCCAAGTTCAACAGGAAGTAATTGGTCACGGTTCGCATTCGGGGGTTGGTGGCTACGATCCATATCACGATGAGGTTACCCCCTGCAGCGATGACCATTATGGCAGTGCACACGACGGTCCACCAAACGCGTGACTCATTATCCAAGTTGTGAACAAAAGTAAAGTTGACCGGGTTATTGTCCTGAATTCCCCCACTATTTTGACCTCCCATAATTCCAGGGGACAATCTCTTCCGGTATACGACAAATAAATAACAAACGACACGTATACTCAATCCTTCCTCAAAACTCCACAGGCACTAAGGCCTGCTTTTGCGTCACAATCGACCTGCAGTCCACAGAAGTTGTTTGTTTCAGAAGTATCCTCTAATCATCTATTCCTAGCTGTCCACTGCGTCTGCTCTTCGCGGCAGTGGTCAAGCCGTTGTATTTTTTTTTATTGCAAACCATAAACGTAAATGTCGCGCAATAATCTAATATCAGCAAACACTAACCCGCTTCCTTGGAAACACTCTTGATACGTTCACCCCACTGTCCGCGAATAAACTGTTTTGACAAGCTTGGCTCCTGCCTTTTTATAAAGTTGTTCTAGTTATTCTTGGTGTATTGCACTGAATTTCCCTTGACAATTCTGGTCCATAATCCAAAGTGAAATATCAGGCGATCGAATTCTCCATAGCATATTAAAAAATCCCTCCTACGTCAGGTCTACTACGGCACTCTCTTTGATTAGATTGGACAACTTTGAAGTGACGTCACGCACAGAAAGCTGAAGTGGAACCCCTCGATACTGGGAGATTTGTGCAAAGAAAATCACGTGACCTCCGTCAATGTCCTCGTTTGAACGTTAAACTCTTACTCCTTCAATGGACAAGGAAACAATATCCACAGCTGACGGAAGGAAATCCTGACAAGTTCTACTGGAATCTGTGCTCTCGAATAAACTCGCAATGGTCGTTTATTCCCCTAGGATTAAGAAAGTACCTGTAGTTAGGTTATTGTTCACTTTGTCGACGATCGTGTTATCATAATCCGATACCTTCCTTTGCTTTCTCCTGCGTATCGATTTCTTAATATCAGCTAACCCTACACAAAACACAGATATGAATTAGAAACGCAGTACTAAAGAGGCGGTCAGCAGCGGATCGATACAGTGAGCGGTAAAGTGAGTAGTTAGGCGAAGTAGCGTGATCCGTGGCTTGTGCTCCGGGGAATTTTTTGGCGCACCTCTCGAGGAGATAGATTCCTTGGCACAAAGAAGACAAATTCAAGCTGAATATTGACACAGGAATTCCTGACCAACTGTCTTGCCCCTCCCCCTCAAGAAACGACGGCGTGGAATGGATACATTCTCGAGGGTACGGGGAGTACGCTTGCCCGCGTCAGCCTGTCCAACCAACCGCGACAATCACCCATAGTCGATGACCAGTACTGTGACCTAAAACAAACAAGAAAAAGGCCAGCCAGGGAAATATAAGAAAAAACACTTTCTCAGAAGAAAAAGGCATACCATGGGTTTTCTGTCCGAGCTTGGAGACGAAAACATCCGGCCTTTCCGGTTTTCCCACAGCGAAATTTCTTCAGGTTTTTAAATTTTTCTTCGAGTTTTTAAATTGATCTAAAAGGGTATTTCAACTTGACACAGTTTACATCTGGCAGAACATGGGTATAAAATAACAACTGGACTGTGAACGGATTTGGAAATCTGATATAAAGAACTCTTTCCGTACTACACGTCATATTAGCAGTCTTGAAATGTAACTTGAAATGTGCTTGGTATCCCAAATTTTTATTACTTATACCAGTGTATTCAGCTTTGAGTCCCCAAGAATTTTGTCGTTCTTACTAATTGTGAATTATGTGCTCAATAAGTCAGTCATTTTGATTCGAAAACGAGGCAGCTTTGCAGATACTTTTCAAAAGACGAAAGCCGACTAGATAATGAAGACGCGATCAATTTGGTAATATAGATTGATAGTCTGGCACCATTCCATTCAAAAGTGTAAAATGAATAAACAACATCCGGGACCACAATCGAAGAGAAATTATGACCCCGTGGGCAAATCTTCCTGGGATGGACACTTCTGGCTTCTTCTTGACTGTAACGTAAGAATTTACCCTTATACAAACAATTTTTATCTACACACCTCAAAGTAATAATGTGTTTCTAAATCTGACCGACCGTAGAAAGTGTCCCGTGTTCTATGTTTCATTGATTGTTGAAATGTGGTGCACTTACCGTGCCACCGATCAAATAGGACCACTGTATATTTGGCACTTCCACCTGAAACAAAAATAAATTACACAGTTTTTGCTACACGCCGCACGGTAAAATATATTCCGTTGTGACAATTTATTGCCGAAACAGGACCAACAGTAAATGACAAGAGGGAAGTGCGGTCTGTCTCTCGAATGACATTCAATGGTTCATTTATATCTTATCATTGCTGGCATTAAGGCTCATCTAGGCTTGATGGAGCTATTGCCCTAGGACACCATTAGAGCCGTTCGGCGCACGTGCTTATAACCTAACCAAAAGGCTAAAACTTCTTTCCTGGGATGAAATAATTAACAATTTCACGGCTTCTTCCTCGCCGCGCCCGACCCCTTGGGGCCTTGGATAACCAGATATCAACTTGGAAAGAAAAAGCACTCAATCATTCCTGTGATGTGGAATAAATATCTCTTGGATTCTACCACTAAGTATCGACAACCGGTGTCCGTTCCGTAAGGTATCTCTCTTGAAAGGTTTGCCCGATTTAAAATGCGCAAATTAATCAGCATGGCTTGAGTAGATTCAACCGCGTACTACAACATTTAGTCGCGTTTCAAGTCAACCGATCTGCCCACGGGACGAAATCATTCTCACAAGGAACTTAAAGACGCGTTTTCAAGATCGTTCAAGTTGTTTCAATAACGACCTTGATTGTGGGAAGCTTACAAAAGGTGACATCGATAGGGCATCTGATTTGGACTGTAGCAAGTCGGGTCATCGTTAAGTTGATCATTAATTTGACTGAAAGCAACTCTGGACAGTCCCTTCAAATAATTTTTGTCACTCTGAATAAGACCAGCACAAAAAAATTGTGTTAGCATCAGTAACCTTATCGTCTTCTCAGTCAGAAATGAAAAAAAAAGACATTCTATATCATGACCGAGGAAACGGTTTCCCTTTATGTGCTGTAAATTACTGATCATCTATACAAATTGCACTCTCCTCAGGCCATCTTAATAACTACCTTCTGGTTAATTTACATCTACGATTTTAAGTTTCCTTTGGTATCCTTCTTTACGAGAGAAGTGATGGATATCTAACAAGTACTATCAGCCTAAATACGTTCCCACGCATGATAGGGACACTAAATGTACATTCGGTTTCACCTCTCATCTGAAACCATACTCTACACCCACGCGCTCGAGGCAAGCTAGACAAGGCAATGCAACAACTTCGATTACAAGCTAAACATGTCCATCCTAGCGTGTAAATGAATCCCGACTCATCGCAGTAAAAAAACAAGCGTGAGGTGCCATCCGCCCCCTTTACGCTATGGTAAACATAAAGTTTCACTGCGCATGCACGGCAATTGTTGAGGGAATCGTTTCGTACGAAGCAGTAATCCTCGAACACAGAATATGATAATAATGTGTCTACTTGTACATTTCAACTAAGTATACCTGATTTAACCAAACAAGTATCGGCTATAATCTTATTTTGTTTCTATGACTGAACTCACAGATTTGATTTTGGAATTGAAAGTGATTTGGAAAACCGTTCCCGCCACGATAAGCTCTTACTGGAAAGTTTACATGGTTGTACAGCTGACAATACAATAATTGTGATGTCACTGGCCTATCAACTGGGGTCACGCATTAACCAGTAAACAGAAATCATCTTCAAGATCAGCACATAATTTTAAACCTGCTTTCCACGCATACGGTGCATTTCACCAATGTGTCACTGAGTTACGTCCAACATTACAACACAGACATATACACGTAGTTCACTTGTTCTAATAGCGTGCAATTGTTGCACGCTGGCTTTAGGTTTCTCTCTTATAAGAGGATAATGAAAATGTTCTTACAACTGATCACAAAAGAACTGAAATCAGACACTGGAAATGTTTCAAAATGTCAAGTGTACTACAAAACTGTATTTTTAGGGACATGTTGAAAAATCCGTGTCATACTATTTACTAACCTGTATAGGCCGTTCGGTATCCGCATTCGTTAACCATGTTTTCCTCCTGTACAGTTTCAATAAACACCTTCGGCAACTTAACGCAAACGGCCACGAGACGCACTGAAAATACATCGATGAAAAGTACGGACGACTTCATCTCTTGCGTCAGGCTTATAGCTCGCATAAACGAGGCATTACAAAGCATGTACGCGAGTTACTTGACGTAAACGACTGCTTCGGTATAGGCTAGCACATGTGAGGAGGATATTGTTCTGGAAACAGTTTTGATGCAAAACTGAATTTTGGTGCATTAAAAAAATACTGTATCTCTTGCATCTCTAGCATTTCTTATTCATAAGCTTCAACATGCTAAAGTCCAGAAAAACTGACGAACCACGTGTCTTCTTGTTTTCCTCAAGTATTCCCTCACATTGGACAGTAGACACTTGTAATGACAAGTTTTGAATGTAAACTCACGATCTGTACTCCATGTACAAAGGTCGAAGGAATATTGCATACTTAATCTGAGCCAATTAAATCAAACCAGACTACAAATGGGAAGGATTCAACAGACAGGCCTCCTTCATGCATTGGGAAATACTGATAGAGTGGAACCAACTTAACTTGATTCCTCCAAACTGGAAAACGAAAAATAGGCGGGAGAAATCTGACCATGAAGATGATCTCACAGCTACACAGTGCACTGCAATTGCAAACATCTTGCAATTAGCGATCGTGAGTGCTGACGCACAGTGCCCGAAAATCCTGTTTACGGCACGTACGCATTTTTTTCAGTGTTCCCCGGGTTTGTTCCCTTATGGTTTTATATTCTCCATGACTAACATCACTAAAAGGTCCCATGTGTCTTACGTTAGCCTAGGGAAGACCCCGTGCCCGGAAGTCACGACTGTTGACAAAACCATGTTCTTTCAAAATTGCATTCGGCAGATGAAGCCTGTAGCAACTCAAGGAAATTTAAGAATGACAATAGTGTCGATTAGTGACAGCGTAATGGATGTTTATTGTTACTGCGTCAGGTTTATAGCCAACGGATGCTTTGTTGGAGGTTTATGTTACTCAGCATTACAGACAAAAATAAATATGTCAAGGAAAATTGACATTTTCAATTGTTTGGTACACACCTCGTGTTTCCAGCCCAAAAGCATATAATTTGTAATGGACATAGAGCAAAATCCATTTTTACCAAATAGGCACTGCCTGCACGTCAGCTTTGGTTTGTTCATATCTTCAATTACAGGCTAATAGCGTAGGACACACACAGGAAGTAGAACTTTCCACGCACAAATTCGATTGACATCAAAGGAGTGAGAAGGAAAGCTTGATTGATCAAAGAGAAAATGACAGAATTTCATTATGGACAACTCCGGGTTATCCAGTTCCTTTTCTGGCTGTTTGAACATAAGTTCTAAAACAGCTACTCGACGACGTAATTCAACAGTAAAAACAAATTAGAACGCGAAGTTAATTTCATTTGACAATTTAATATGCTGTCAGTTTACAGTGATAATTTATAGTGTGTAAGCTAAGACGGACTTGTGCGAATGACGTGTGTAGGCAGGGACCGCGTCGTGACCTCAAAGGGTTAAGATATTATATTCAATGTTCCATGTCTCAAGATATCCTATTGATAAATACACTAAAATACATGAACTTTAGTCGTGACCTACTGCAGTTTGATAATTACAACAGAAGGTCCCCTATTCCTTTTGATTGTGAGCTCTTTTCAAAGATTACCAGAGCCTGCTCCACAACATGACAAGCCTACAGCACGTTCTTCAGTTGCTTTGTTATTGCACATCATATCTGAAGTCTACCGCGCGCTTTCAACTGACGTCGCACTTCGACGAAATTTAATTTGCTCGGTAACATGTGTGGACTCCGGGCCCCGCCAAATATCCCCAAAATGCGTTTGGAACGATCCCGAGCTGGACTGTTTACGGGATGCAGCGGCCCAGAAATCGATCATTTTCGAAGAAAATGCGTGCGCCGATTTTATCAATCAACAAATCTCCCAATTTTCTTGGTACTTGATAATGAAGGCATATTAGATTTAAAGAAAAGAGAACTTTAACTTGTTGGTTGTAAAAAAATCAATTTAAAACAGCTAAGTTTACTCCCAGATTCACCGAATACGTATAGAATTCCGAAAAAGGAACCAATGAAATTAGAAAGATTCGAAACTCTCCTTCAAAAAGGAGAATGTCAGGACTGAGCATCGAATCTAAGCCAAATGGGATCGATGTTCGTGCATTTTGATAACGATTTTCACAAAGTGACATATCGATGTTGCGTTCACCATGTTCTCATCCGGTGACTTAGCGGGGATGCGTTTCGCATAGGCAAGGATCATTTAGCTGCTAGCCATGTTTACCTCACCAGGGAGTCTTGTCCGGAAACACAGTAGATAACTTGATGTTTGAAAAGACATGTATGTCAGCTAGATGTTTACAATATCAAACGAACTGAATGCTTGGAACTAAATGTTAATGACAGAAAAAGAGATACTCATGTCCTTGAAAATTTTCCATTAAAGGATTCAAACTTGTCAAACTTACTGCGTAAAGCATGTTTTCTCACAAGCCTTTAATCAATAAATTGATTTTTATACTTGTACTTTCAACTTGGCGCTTTGAAACATTGTGGAAAGTGCATTATAAATGTTGTAAGTTATAGTTATAAACGAAAGTAAAGACTCAAAACGTTTCCTTTGAAACAGATTCATTCTTACGAAACAACAGCGTATGGAGTTAACTTTCTTTCATTCCCATGAATGCAAGATTCGTTGTTATTTCAGCTGATACTTAAACAGCAGCAGGCATGCGAGGTTGCTAACCATTTCTACATTTTATCTATGGAAAAAAATGAGGAAATACCACGTCCGACGCAATATATCGCTTAAAATTCGATGGTTGCATAATGACCCACGTATTCGTGTAGACTTCACTCTACCAGCCTGATTAGTTCTTATAGCATTTAAAAATATTGGTACTTACTAACATTTTTTTTAATTTTTTTTCTCTTTTTGTTCTTCAAATGTCCAGTAGTTGCAGAGAAGTATCGTTATGTTAACGGAATGATGAATGACACTTTTAGAGAGAAATTTTACTTGTCGTCCATACTGAAAATGGGAGGCAGACGATTAAGAGTGAAGATTAAACCAAAGTTAGATAAAAAGAATTTGAAAAAAATCGACATTGAAAGCGTAAAATGGATTAAAATTTCACTTAATAGGAATAAGTGGAAATATTAGGAGTTAAGAGACGCGAGTTGGCCAAACATTCGTCAGATACACGAGTCTCTGCAACGACTATAGCCTTGCGGATTCAAGTATCCGTGGAAAGAACGTCTCTCACCTGTCATTACATGCAGTTGCAACACTTGCTGAAAAGAAAACTCGCTGAATAGTGCTGAATTGCTGACTAGCTTTGCTGAATTGCTGAACCCCAGATCTTCCTCAAAAGTTATTATTGTTTCAGCTATCGAAAGCATGACAGTCTTGATGTGTCACATCCGGGTAAGAGAAAGTACAGGCACGGAAATGATTCGCTACGTGGACCTACATGGACGAGGCGTGAACGATACCTCCCGTTCACTTGCGCCAAGCGACTCCAGGCAGCACACGCGCACCCACACAAGGCTCACAGAATGTCACTCAAGATTTCTGCTCCCAGGTCCCATTAGGCCCGGTCCGCGATTGGCGCCCACTCCTGGTGCCATGCCTGCTCCGGCGGCGTATTTGTTCTTCCTGATCACGTTTCCTTTCTTCTCTTTTTCTTTCTTATATGTACATGTACTTACCTCCGTCCTAGGCTCTGTGCTCTGCAGGTGCTGTGCAGACGTGCATGCGGGCTAATGCTCCGTCAGTAGTGCATTGTATCGATACATGTATGCTTGTCACTTTCTGACCATTGAGCACGCCTTCATCTTCATCCCACAGTGCGGAAAATGTTCTGGTGAATAAAATTATCTCACCTTTTTTCAATTCAGCCTCAGTATATAAGAGGAGATTTCTTCCACAGAATGTCTGGCTCTCTCAGAAGCTAAGTGAGGTGGAGGTGAATGCATGAAGAATCAGTCTACACTCAGGGAAAACCTAAGAAAGCAGTTCCAAAAAATTACTTACTTTTTTGTAAATAGGTAATACAGTAAGCCTCTGTCATTACTATGACTTTTCAACAATTAAATGAACCGCCTATATGCTAAGTTTAGTGAAGAATAGCTGAGCCAAGCTTCTGTCACTACCGAGGGCAATTAAGCTATTACGTCCCCTACATGCTCAGTTTAGTGAACCATAGACGAACAATATATGTGTCCACCATTACTGAAGGCCTTTGGGGGATTATGTGTTCGTCTATGCTAACTTTAGTGGGTTTTAAAGCTTGAGAGCCATTCAATGCAATCAGTCCCAATTTATCTGTCTTTTCCAATGGAGACCCCTACCTTTGTCTCCGTATCAACCAGCTTATTGGTGTCACGTGATATTTTAAATCCCATGAAAATGTGTTCTTCTTTTCCATATGGGTGTGTAGCCTCCCAGGCTCCTGCTGGTTGTGCATTAATTAATGAGCAACCCGGTTCCGTCTTTCGACTGATTAAACCTGAGAACAATTACCAAAAACGTGAAAAAGTCAAGGTTTTCATAAGATGAAAGGGCGGACGATCTTTAGAATGATGTAAATTTTGATGAATCTCCGAATAAAAATAAATATACATTCTTTGCACTGTACATAATCTCCTTCCGATGAATACCGATGAATAACTACATCAACAAACTGGCAATAGCATAGTTATTTTTAATTAATTCGTAGCATATATCTTCCATAAATAACAATGATTACCACTTGCTTCACAATTGAAGTGGAAAGGTGGTAGCAGATGAGGAAACAAATTTGCCTTTGAAGTAAATTCAAAGACAGTTTTTAGACTGAATAAGCACGGCTTTGGTTCATCTGACACATTCTTTGATGCATTTTTCTTCGTTATAAACGATGAGTCAATTGACATTCAATTGAGCGGTCGCTGCACTGCAGTTTCATCAAGATTTTCACACCACCAAACGTGGATAATCAGGCACTAGGAAAATTATTTTTCCACGTTGCAACAAAAGGTGAAGATTGATTCTTGATCAGCCCTAGATCGCGGTCACTGAACGGCGTTATCACCGCTCCCCTTGAAACCAGACACGCAGATTGACGCAATGAAACGAATGTTGAAGTTGCTTTCGTACTGTCTTGCATTTCTCTCTGCACTTCCTGGCACTTCCTGAGGAAAAAAATGTAAAGGCCGAGCACAGGTCGTGTGCAATGTACTTGCAGCTGGTTATACGGTGTGAATGTCAAACAGGACTGTCTCGCATGGGGCGCGGATTCGTCATGCAAGGAAAACGGCAAAACCTCGGCAAATCCAATAAAACCAAAAATGCAAATGGTGTCTGGAGGCGAGGGAGTGCTCGCCGACAGAGTTGGCCAGACCCAGGAGCATCCGCCACCATCAGCTCGTTAGCTGCACTGTTCCTTTGGGGACCTCCCCTCGTAAGTTTCCCCTGCAAGCCAATTACGGCGGCATTAACCATTTCTTATCCAGTTAAGGATGGTGACGTCACGGGGAGGGAGATAATGTAATCATTTTTTTCGCCGAGGGAAAAAATGTAGGGAAATAAACAGCTATACATCTATCATCCAAATGAGGTATAACAGTGCTTGAATGTGCACAGGGGTTCCATCATTACCTCAATTATGACTAAAAGTGAACACAGTATACAGCAGATAAGTAGATAATATATGATTGTTCACATTGGTGGACATGTTTTGAACGATTTTCTATGAAATTAAAGCCCACCTCAAGTGTCATTTAATCTTGCCAAAATCTTATCAAGTTTCAGGAAAAGTGTGGGCATTGGTTCTAAACAACATCATTGTGTTGCCACAAGCCCTCTACATAGCCTCGACAGGTTTTCATTTGGAATATATGTATTACCCATTCAGGCAATGGAATAACATTGTACATGTACATATAAATTATGGTTAAATCCACGTAATTTTAATATTAACTGCATCTTTGTCGTTCCCCTGGGTGCTTCGCCCCTGGGGGTGAAGACTTTCATATACAGTGTGGCCAATATTCTGACTCCAGAAATGTCGGGAGAAATCTGTTCAAGAATATCCACAATCAGGTATATGAGTCATGTATCCACAATCCATCCTCATATGTCGGTTTCAATGGGATTCGAACTGGGATCAAACAGGTTTGCGATCGAAGAAAGTGTCAGAGAATCCATTGAAATCCCCCAGCTTTATATATCAAAGGAAGGACTTTGGCCGTTAAATGTCGTGAGTTAAGGAGAGACTTGAGGTGACGGCCTAACACATCTTTGCAATGAGCTGTGGGTAGCTGAGACATCAATTAGGTCAGAAGGTAATGCTTAAAGGTGAATGTCTATTCCACATATTTACACCACAGTTGCGCTTATGTTTCAGATTTGTTTCAGCGATTGTCTCTTGCTTAATGGTCACGTGTGCACTGGCTCTCATGAAAAACAGTAATGCCAACAACATTCAGATTGACATTATCAATAGCTAGCAGTGAAAAAGCTTGATGTCTGCAATTTAAAAGAACACAAATCTTAAGACGTCAGTACACATGTTAGCAAATTAAAATCTAGAGATACTTTCATGACAGGAAGACGATATATATCTGCAGATAATGTTCAAACCCTTAACCCTAACATTCCCTAATCCTCCAATTTTAATATGATTTCACATACATCCTAGGGAGTTAGGGCCGAGCATCAAAGACCAACATAGGTCAGTCTGTACCAGCTTTTAATTCGACTGTGTTTATACTCAGATGTGACCTGTTTACGACATTGTTGTCCTTCAATAAGACTTCTAGACTTGTCAGTTTAGAACCGTCATCACGAGACAAACAAGGACTAGAATCTAAACAACAGTAACAATTTAGAAACTCCGTACAATGCTGAAAACAGTAGGTCTATTGATCAGAAAGTTAGATTTGGATTACAAAAAGATATGCTACAGGCGATTTGTCCAAGAGACAAGCAGACAAAAACACACCCTCAAAGTAATTTCCTCTCTACAATAACATAACACAGAGAGTAATTTTCCCAGAACTTAGCCTTTTCACTTTCTGTGTTTTGCATTCTTAAGACTGTTCTGTAACTCAGGGCCAAAATCAAAGGAAACCAGACTTGTTGAAATGAAATTGGGGTTTATTTTACTTGTGGTGAAATGGACGTGAAAGAGAGGGAAAATTCTGAAAGTTAGGTGCAAATGCTAGCAGAATATAAAGACCATTTGGAATGATGCATTTTTGCTCTCTGTGGAGGTCTTTTTAAAGGCACATTGTGGCTTTCAAGTTGTTGAGGGCTCAGTAAACTTTCTGCCTAAGGAGTCGGACGACCACCAGTAGCAACAATTTAAAGCTTGAGTACAGTCAGCACTTTCACCACAATTATGAGCCAGTTGGGTATTTCAAAAAGGCCAGGTCTTGCAGGGGACAAAACGTGCCTGTGAAACGGCGTATGGGCTTTGCTCAAACGGTAGACAATCGTGCGCGTGTGCTGCTGTCCCCAAATGACCTTAGTCTTGCCCAAAGACTATTTTACTGTTTGGCCCGTGCACCGTGCAGGCGACATGAGCTGGCGAGCATAGCCGAATAACACTACTAGTAGAGGGCGCTATATCCACAAGAGACGACCTGCCAGAATATACCAGGCACGAAATGGGACAGAGGGGTACCCCCCAAAAAGTCCAATTGCCAATACACACCCCAGCCTATTGTCACTTAACACATCCCCCTAGAAGTTTAAAACGAATTCCTGAGATACCAGTATCACAATGAGCAACACCAAAGGCGGGGGGGGGACGGTTCTCTCTGTCCCCCATAGTTTGCTTCATATGTGCCAGAAAACCAGTCTCGTCGAATCTGGCAGGCTTAATCAAAAAATTCCGAGCATACCTCACGCGCTCAAGCTCATGAATAATAATACACGTACGCAATGTACTGCTGAAGACCGCGCGCCATGCCGACTGTAGTTTTCGGCAGTGCGCATGAGCAATTATTCATGGTAATTTGAGCGCTTGAGGTATGCTTGGAAAATGACCTCGGTGGATTCAGTTTGGGCATGCGCCGTTGGAATACAGAAATGGCTCATTGTTGGATATTGTAGCTTATAATTGGTCATGTCCTTGCGCCTTTGCAATGATTTCTTACACATTCTTGACGTGCCATGCTGTTGTGCATGTGCGTCGCTCATACAACATTTCCCGTATGCTGAATGACTTGGCGTTCAGGTGCGCTCTGCGTATGTTTCATCCTTTCACTTAGTTATGCTTATTGTTCGGGGCTAAACACTGAGCTTTTATGATGGAAACAAGATTTCTGATGTAATTCTTTTGTTATTCAGTCTCTAATGCAGCAGTGGTCTTTTTCGAGCCGTGAAATTCGTTTATTTCCTCAGTTCTTGTAAAAATCACGATATTCTTGCATTCGGAGTTTTCCCGAGAAGTTGAAACACATGAAGGTGAAGCCAGCGCTTAACTAAAGGCCATCCAGATGCCAATTAGCTTGCTACATCTTTTTAAAGCCAGATTCGAGAACTTAAATTTGGTTCAGGTGATTTTATT